AGCAAGGGGGGGCGAGGGGCGGGGGGGGTGCACAGGAGGCGGCAGAGGGGGTGAGCGGCCCCAGGCTCTAATCGTCCTTGTCCTTGGCCCCGTGCTTCAGGATGCGGGTGAACTCCACATAGTTGAAGTTGCCCTTCTTGTCGATGGGCGCCTCCCGGTACATCTCATCCACCTCCTCGTCGGTGAACCTGTCTCCCATGGTGGTCAGCAGCTCACGCAGATGGTCCTCATGAATGAAGCCTGCAGGGATGGCAGGGGGTGGCGTTAGCAGGGGACACTGTGGGAGGGCTGAGCAGCAGGACTTCCCCCACCTTTCCCGAAGACACCCCTGCCCCGCTCTCTCACTCTGGAGCTGCTTGGGGACTGTCCCCAAGGATTTGGCCCCAGCCCTTGTCTTGGTTGCATGCCCGAGGGTAAAGCGCCCAGGCAGGCAGCATGGGGCTGTGCAGGCGGTGCCCGTACCTGCTGCCTCCTCATCGAAGCAGGCGAAGGCATTGCGGATGACGTCCTCCGGGTCGGTGCCGTTCAGCTTCTCCCCGAACATGGTGAGGAACATGGTGAAGTTGATGGGCCCCGGCGCCTCGCTCATCATGCCCTCCAGGTACTCGTCAGTGGGGTTCTTCCCTGCCCGACAGACAGGGGTGTGGGTGCAGGGCTGTTCCCCTCCCCTCCCCAAGGCCACCCCACAACCAGAGAAGGGGTTTTCCACAGTGCCCAGTGCTCCCCGCTCAGCTTCTCTCCCCATACTTTAATCTGTGCCAGAGGCTACCTGGAACCAAGTTCTGCCAGGCTCAGCCTCGAGGGAGATGCAAGAATTCATCTGGGGGTTACCGGGAACTAAACCCACAGCTTTTCCCCATTCCTCTGGCAGCTGACACCCAGCACCACCCGAGGAGAGGGGCAGCAATGTCCCCACACGAGCCTCGTGCTGCTGATGTCCCTAGCACTGCTCCTACCATGGATGCACCGGGGATGGTTTAACCTCCTCTGCTGAGGTCCCCGTGCCCCCAGCGCCCGGCCCCTCTCTGCTCCCAGAGCTACGGCTCACAGGGAGGAGGGACGTCCCTCCCACAGCCAGGCAGGACCTCCAGAACAGGTTTGGCTGCCGGGCCAATCATTGACAGACCTCCCAAAGCGCCGTGGAGGTACCGCAAGGAGCAGGAGGTGGGAGCCATGGCCTGCAGCAAAGGAGAACGGGCTCTGGGTGGGGAGCGTGGCCAGACCTGCAAGTCTCAACCGGCCAAGGTATCATGCCGGCACAGGGACCAGCCTCTTCTGTCACCCAGGCTGAGAGCAATGGGAGGGCTTTGTCCCGCAGGGGATCACCCCAGGCAATATTCTGGGGTGAGACTACTCAAATACTCAATGGCCGCGGCTGGTGGTTGCTCCTAGGGCAGAGCTTCTCCAACCCCAAGGGTCTCTTCCCTTCTAGTGAGCACGGCTGTAAGACCAACACACCAAGCTGCTGCCCTTGGGTGCCTCCACAAATGCACCTACGGTCAGCTGGTGCCAGCAGAGAAATCCCCCCCCAGATTTTGCAGCCAGCATCGGGCTGGCCCAAAGCAGGAGCACTGTGCCTCAATGGCATCCCACCAAAGCTGGTCTTCAATGCTGGGTGCGAGGCACTAGGTCACCCAACAGCTCTCCCCACTTGCCGAGGAGGCGTTGAGGGCAGAGGGTCTGAGGGACATGTGGAGGCACGAGGGAAGGATCTCCTCACCGAGGGAAGCCAGCATGTCGTGCAGATCCTCCTTGTCAATGAAGCCGTCGCGGTTCTGGTCGATCATGTTGAAGGCTTCCTTGAACTCCTGGATCTGCGACTGGTCAAACATGGCGAAGACATTGGAGGTGGCACGCTGGGGGCGCTTCTTGGTGGTCTTGGCTTTGGCACGTTTGCTGGACATCTTGGCGGCTGGGGTGGTACCTAGGGGTAGGACAGCAGGCAGGAGCGTCAGGAGGGCTGGGGACAGGCAGACCCCAGGGGGCCAGAGCAGAGGCAGGGACACACAACTCCTGGCACTGCCAGTCCCGTGCCTCAGTTTCCCTAGCTGTCACACAGTTTGGCAACAGTGAGATAAGGCGGTCGCAAGGTCGGACATGGGGACAGGCGAGACGGGCTCTAATGAGTCCCCTGGGAAGTCACAAGAGCAGGCAGCGCTCACTGGCGCCCCTTCCCCAGGGCTGTCCCCGTGGGCTGCAGGCGGGGCTCCCTGCCTGCACCCTTGGCCCCCAAACTCCCAAACCTGCTTGCTGCCTGTCCCCTTTGCATCCCAGGCACAGGGAGAGATGCCAAGCACAGCACCCAGCATCCCCCCACTGCCGTCAGTCCCGGGGGGGGCATGGGGACGGGTGCCTTGGCATTTTGGGCAGAGCTTAGCCGTGCCCCCCCGCCCCATGCCTCCCCTGCTCCTCTGGCAGGTCTCTCCCCAGCCTAGCTCCCGGGGCAATGGGTCTCCCTGGCATCCTCCATATTGCTGCACAAAAGCAGCCCCCAGCCATGTCCCCGGGAGGTGGGCTCGCACAGCACCCAGCACCCAGCGGGAAGGGGTTATCTGCTCCGGGCACATTCCTCACATACCACCGCCTCCCTTCCCCCTCCACCCTGCGCTCCATCCATCCCACCTCCCGCCACCGGGTCCAGCCAGGCCAAAGGCCGCTTGCCGCCTCCCTCCCCACCATGGTGCCCGGGTGTGCCCCACGCTCTGCCCAGGGAGCCCACGGGAAGGGCCCCGAAGTGGAGGGGAGAGAGGGCTAGTGGACCTCTGGGGGGCTGCAAAGCCCCTGCGGAGCAGGGGGAGAGCGGCCAAGCAAGGCTGGGACCGCGGGGTGCTGAGGACTGGTGCTGTTGTTACAGGTAATGAATGCCAGGAGAAGGGAACAGCCCGGAGGGGCAAAGAGGGGGGCAGCAGTGGGAGGGACAGATCTTTGGGGACACGGCTGGGGCAATGCGTGTTGCATGGGGAATAGCAAAGGGACCATGTGGACCCCAAACACGACCGAGGCAGGACCATGGCAGGAAAACCTGGTCTTTGAAAGGGGGGGGTCCTGCTCCCAGCCCATGCTGGCGAGCACCCAGCAGAGCCGGGCTGGAGCAGAGAGCTCATTCCCACCCTGAGATGGTACCCAAGCCCCTTCACAGCCCCCGAGCAGGGGTGTGGTGATATCCCCCCACGCTGCCAGGCTGAGGGATGCAGCCAGTATTTAAGACACCCTGTGCCATGGCTGCTGGGGACCCAAACGGGATCTGTATGGGGTGCTTGGCACCCCCAGCGACCACCAATGTTGCCTGAGAGGAGGATGCTCAGACCTCTCCCAGTCGAATCCTGCCAAGTGTAACTCAGCAAGATACCAGCAAAGACCAGCCTGGCAGAGGGATGGTGTTGGCTGCCAGCTCAGCACGGCCCTGCGAGAAAGTCTGGGGTGAGGTCAGCCCAAGGGAGAGATGCTGCTCAGAGCCCTCATGTTTCTACCGCAGCCATTTCTCCCTCACACGCAGCCCCGTGCCTCAGTTTCCCCATCTGGGTCAGCATCTGGCATGGGGAGCAGCTGGGGAGGCAATGTTAAATTAATGGATTATGAACGAATTCCATGGGGGAAGAGCGAAGTAGTAATACTGCTGTGTGCCCCGTGCCATGGTGGGCAGGAGGGCTGCCTGGGTTCCTGCCTTCTCTGGCAGGGGACACAGAGCAGTTAAGGAGCCACATCATGTTGCATGAAGCAGCACAAAGCAACAACACCAGCGAGCTGCATGCCAGCAACCGTGCCTGGCTGGCCTGGCCACCCTGGGCGTGCTGCTCCAGGACCCAGTTCCCAGCTGGGTCCTTATTGCTGACGCACCCAGGGGGACCACAGGGCCTTGGGGAGCATCCCTCCCAGAGGGACCCCAGCACTGGCACGGACTAGGGCAGAGCAAACAGCCTTCTCCTGCACCCGCACAGCTCCTGCCATCCCTCCCCCGACCGTACCTGCTTTCCAGGTCTTTCCCTCCCCTCCTGCTATCCCTCTTTCAAGGAGTTGCAGCTGTGGGGGCTGAGCCAGCCACTGCCACCAGCCTGGTCCCCGCCCTGCTGTGGTCCCCACCCTGCTGCAGTCCCCAGGCTCCCCTAGCTGGGCTGCGCTGGAAGGACATCCCGGGGGCTGCAGTAAGTGTGCAGTAAGGCTGCACAAATCCCAGCTACGGTGTCAGTGCCGGCAGG